CTTTATCCAATTAAAAAATGTATTCACTCTCATCTATTACAACTTTTGTAATGCTGGGCACTGGCTATTTTTGGGTCTGGACTCAAAAATCGTGATTAAATGTTTCTCTCTCACATAAATGCCACAGGGGGGCTGAGCTTAACTAGCCAATAATTTAAGTCACGGATTACTCAAAATTTCTGCTCCCATGGTGCGACGTTTCGGGCAATGGTCCTAATTCTTCATAGCCCATATATCAATACTAATTTAGAATGTCTCATTCACAAAGCATGAACCTTGCATGCGGCATAATATATGAGTATGCAAACGAGTTGAATTTCAATAATAAAGAAGAGTGAACTCTTAACACTACAGAGTGAGCGCCAGACACTGATCATTAAACACGACAGAGTAAAGGCGTTGCACCTCTCCCGAGGGCATTCGACTGCACACAGTGAACGTTGCAGAGCATGGTGACGAACGGCTTACACTTAACACGTGCACGGCTTACGGTTAACACTGCAATCCACTGCCGGATCACAGGCTCAGCACGTGCCCGTACCGCGAGTCTTGGGGGGCTGTTTAACCAAACTTCACCACGCCGACCAGTGCGGGTTGGTGAAGGTGGCCCAGTGGAGACATGGAAGTTCGATACAACAATGGTCGTGACGGTTCAACACAACAACAAAAAAATCTGGCCGTCGCCTGATGAAGCTCGTTTTTAATGACAGGCGAAACGTCGCACTCAAAATTGTAAATGTTGTGGCTTTGCTCTCTAACACACCCGGTGTTGCTGTACTCGTAACGAATTGGCACGTTCTGTTTACGTGACAAACTCTACTAATTTGCCGTGTCGGGTGGTGGCGGGTTTAAGTACAACAACAAAAAGTCTATTATGGACAATGGTCTTTGCTTCACTCCGATGTCCATCCACAACGTGGTGGTGGTCATCCATCCAAGCACTAGCCAGGCTGAACGTCACCTTAGCTTCCGAGATCGAGCTTTGATCGCAGGCTGCCAAATTAACTCTAAAATACTGCAGACGGAGCAGTACCCACGTGTCGAATACACACTTCATTATTGTCGTCCATGATAAGTCCACTGCTGGATGACGGCTTCCCCGAGCCATTAATCAAACCGTCATTAAACACGAAAGGCTACGGAAGAGTTGCCCCTCGGGAAGTCCTAGTGGCCTGACCCACAACTGAGCTCCTTTCCACTCCACAGCCAATGTTCCTGCTAAACACAAATGTTTACACACACACGTGATTGCGCAAACACACTCGTCGACACACTAAATACACAGACTAAGCAATTTGCATACAGAGCACGTGACGAACGTTTGTAAGCCAGAAGATTCTTTTACCAAGCAATGGCCTGCCCTCACTCCCATCATCAATTCCTCCCTTTCCCCAGTTGCTCAGATCCAGCAGTGGCCACCAAACACCTTTGATTTCGTCTCGCCAATATAAGAATTCTACAGCCGATATAAAACCGTAGTCTATACATTATGTATGACAGACTAAAGAATAAGAATTCCACGGCACACTCTGGAGCTTGCTTGATCTTCGCGGCACACACAACCAGAAAATCACCGCAGGTGGGTGGCTGGCTGGGTTTGTAGCTCAAGATAATTCACGATCTCCCACCCCCCCTCCACGGATCCTATCGAGAGCAAGGGCACCATGCGGCGGCGCTGCCAAAATCCGTGACGAGAATTTGCCCGACCGCGCGAGTCTCGTCGTGACTGCGCGTCTCGTTGTCTGTGTGTGCTTCTGCCTGTGTCTCCGTGTCTGTGTCACCGTGTCTCTGTATGTGCCTCCGCCTGTGTCTCTGTGTCAACATGTCCTCGTTCGTACGTGTCTCTGCGTGTGTCTCTGTATGTGCCTCCGCCTGTGTCTCTGTGTCACCATGTCCTCGTGCTTCCGTCCGTGTCTCTGCGTGTGTCACCGTGTCTCTGCGTGTGTCTCCGTATGTGCCGCCGCCTGTGTCTCTGTGTCACATTGTCCTCGTGCGTCCTGTGTCTCTGCGTGTCTCTGTATGTGTCTCCGCCTGTGTCTCTGTGTCACCGTGTCCTCGTGCGTCCGTGTCTCTGCGTGTGTCACCGTGTCTCTGCGTGTGTCTCTGTATGTGCCGCCTGTGTCTCTGTGTCACCATGTCCTCGTGCGTCCGTGTCTCTGCGTGTGTCACCGTGTGTCTCCGTGTTTGTGTTACCGTGTCTCTGTATGTGCCTCTGCCTGTGTCTCTGTGTCACCGTGTCCTCGTGCGTCCGTGTCTCTGCGTGTGTCACCGTGTGTCTCCGTGTTTATTGTGTACCTCTGTGTCTCCTTGTTTGTGTCACCGTGTCTCTGCGTGTGTCTCCATGTCTCTGTATGTGCCTCTGCGTGTGCCACTGTCCTCGCGTGTCCGTGCCTCTGCGTGCGTCTCCCCGTGCCTCTGCGTGTGTCTCCGTGTCTATATCACCGTGCGTGTCCGCGTCTGTATCGCCGTGTGTCTCCCGTGTTTCGTCTCTGCATGTGTCTCTGTCTCCATGTCCGTCTGCCCAACTGTACGATTTCGAGAGTCGAGATGCCCGGTGTTGGGATGGGCCACCGACGGCTGCCCGCTGCCATCGTGCGCCACGAACCAATTAAGAGGGGACGGGCGGGAGGTGGTGGGGGAAGAGATGAAGATTTGAGGTTCTTCCAAAAAACACCACGGCCCACCTGGGACATTTCCGCGGTCACGCAGCGACGTGCTGCATCGGTGTTCCTGAGCACTGCTGGTTGGCAGCACCGCCTGTCGGAGGCACGACTCTCACATGCACAGCCAATGTTATCCCCACTACGCGTGTTTACTTGCACGCTAAAATACACGGAAGAATCACTCCACATTAGACACTACACGACGAATAGCTACTAAATCCTGAATATTAAAACACTAACAATGGAAGGCTACGGTGGGACAGGACTGTCTCTCTCTAGATAGCCACGCACACTAAACACAGACAAATAGCTGCATGTTAAACACTGCGCGTAGCCTAGATACTACATATTACACAACACGAGACTGGGAACGACAGTGGGATAAGACATCCACAATCGTCACGCATCCCCCCGGGGTACACGCATCTAGAGAAAAAAGCTACGCGGTTAATGTTTAATGAATCAGAATATATTTTTTTTTACACTGGAGAAATCCGATGAGCTATAAAGCTATTTTTCATAAATGTCCAGTAGGAGCGGGTCATAATGTTACAAAAAACAAACAATACAAAAACACAATAGGAAAAGTAAAACAAACCACTTATTATATACAAATGCAACTAAACCATTTTTATATTACAAGGTAAGACCCACTGAGCTATTAGGCTAGTTTCCAGAAGCGACCAGGTCACAAATGTATCGCGGCAAAATAATCTGAATAATCTAAACGCATGTTCGTAATGAAAAACGAGAAGACGCGAAGAAAAAAATCATGTTACGGAGTAGTCCTCGACTTGCAAACACAATTAGTTCCTGAGACCCCCGTTCGTAAGTCCAACGGTTCATGTATTTAAATGCCCAAAACACACAAACACTCACTCCTGGAGCGAGGCGGACTTAAAAGTGCAAGCTTTAAGTCAATGTTAAAACCAAATATTTCACGGAAGCCGGTTCTCCCAAGTGCGGGCAATGTTCGTAAGTCGGGTGTTCGTAAGTCGATGACTGCCCGTACTATCACACACGTGTTCACACACTCGAATATCGACTACTCACTCACTCATACACTAAAGGCTATACAATCAACACGGATACTAATCACTCAAATAGGCTTCGCTTCGTCACCTCCACAAGCCACCGTTACCACACACACAGCTTTTCGTGTCCACACACGAAACGCGTCGGATAATCACTCCACATTGAATCATTCACAACACACGGACTAGTCACTGCACACTGAAGGATACTCTCTACACGAGACACGAACGAATGCACATTAAATAATACACAACACACACACACACGAATCGACGCACATTAAATAATACAACACAATTATCACTATACATTGCATAATACAGGGACTAATCACTGCACATTAAATAACACACACGGCAATCACGATACATTGGATACATCATTCGCAGACTAAATCACTGCACGCCGAAGAACACACAACGACTAATCACTGCGAACCAACTAACAAAACGACTAATCACTGCACATTAAATAATACAGAACACCCACACAGACTAATGACTGTGCACTAAAGACTGTTAACGCTTCACACACAGACTACATCCCACGTGCTCACTAAACCGGAAGACTGACTCAACACTGATTTATTGTAATATACAACACACACCCGTGTACTAAAAGCTATTTTTATATAAAGGACTGGACACTTCACACACTCAACCCACACACACTACCACCAAAGACAAAGATCCCCCGTATAGCCTCAACAGAGTGTTGGGGCAAAGTGCTCTTAGCGAGTAGCGCCTAATGAAGGCCGGCAAGGCACACGAGGGGGTGGGAGGCCACCACCACCACCACCACCACGCCCGGCCGCCTTTGTCTCCCTAGTGGCGACGTTCACACATCGCACCGGGTGCTCATTCGAGAGTTGGAGTCGACCGAGGGGAGGTCCCCGGGAACCCCGGTCCAGATATAATCCTCACCCGATGGCCGTGAGCTGGGGATCGAACTCGGCCCGCCGGGTTTCGCACACACAGCAGGACCCCCCCCCCCACCCCCTACCCCCTACCCCCACGCCGTCCCCACGCACGGACATCGCCCGCCTTAGCCGCCTCGCTCGCACCTTGTTCACCATTCACCACCGCTAAGCGCGCAATGATAACCCTGCCCGCCACGACCGAGACACCGACAGTGGCGCCCGGCGCTGAGAGCGGCGAGGCCCCCCACCACCACCACCTCCTCCACCCCCACCACCTCCTCCACCACCACCACCTCCACCACCACCACCACCTCCACCACCACCACCTCCACCACCACCACCACCACCTCCTCCTCCTCCTCCTGCCGCCGCTGGCGTCTCACCGCGTGGAGGCGGATGAGGGGGGGGGGGACTCCTCCTCGTCCTGCTGCTGCTTCTCCTCGTCGTCCTCGTCGGCCGTCCGTTCCTTCTCCCCCCGCTTCGTCTCCCGCTCTCTCTCTCTCTGCTGCTTCTCTCCTACGGGAGATGCCCCGGGCAGCAGCGGCAGCGGCGGCGGCGGCGAGAGGCGGCAGCGGGCGCCGCGCGGGCAGCACCAGTGAGGGCCACCCCAGCAGCGGTGGCGGCGGTGCGCGGGGCATGCCGGGACACGGTCATGTGGCCACGCCCCCCCCCTCTTCCACCCCCCCCCTCTTCCACCCCCCCTCTTCCATCCACCCCCCCCTCTTCCATCCACCCCCCCCTCTTCCATCCACCCCCCCCTCTTCCATCCACTCCCCCCTCTTCCATCCACTCCCCCCCTCTTCCATCCACAATTCCACCTTACTCCATCCACCCCCCTCAAACCACCCCCTCCATCCATCCACCCCCCCTCTTCCACCCCCCCCTTTTCCATCCACAATTCCACCCCCTCTCAATCCACCCCCCTTCCACCCCCCCCATCCACCCCCCCCCATCCATCCACCCCCCCCCTCCATCCACCCCCCCATCCACCCCCCCCATCCATCCACCCCCCCCCTCCATCCACCCCCCATCCACCCCCCCCTCCATCCACCCCCCCATCCACCCCCCCCATCCACCCCCCATCCATCCACCCCCCCTCCATCCACCCCCCCCATCCACCCCCTCCATCCCCCCTCCCCCCCATCCACCCTTTCTCCCCCCCCCCCGGGGAGGGACTCCTATGGGGGGAGCCGGACTGGGGAGGAGCGATTGGGGAGGGGGTAGAGACTGGAGGGGAGGGTGGAGATGGATGGGGGTGGGGGGCGACTTGGGGGGAGGAGGGATGGTGGGGAGAGGACCGGGGTGGTGGGGAGAGGGACGTGGGTGGGGGTGACTGGGAGGGGAGGGACTGGGGGGGTTGGGACAAGAGGTGGGGAGAGGGACGTGGGGGGGGGGGGGTCTGGGGGGGGGGGGGGTCTGGGGGGGTTGGGACAAGAGGTAGGGGGAGGGACGTGGGGATTGGAGGTGCGACTGGGGGGGGGGGGTCCTGGGGGGGGGTAGTTTGGTTGGGGGAGAGACGGGAGGGAGGGGGAGGGTAGGGATGGAAGGAGGTACAGTATGTACAGTATGTTGAACTTCTTTCGCACCGTACGTAGAGAACCGTGCTAATCGGAGTGCGAGGTGGAATGCGGGGGGGGAGAACTGGGGGGGGGGATTTGGGGGGTGGAGGGAGTAAATGAATGTATTAATTAAAAAAGTTTAATTTCGTTTTTTTAACATAGTTTTTTTGAGCCGCAGGCCAAAACGTCAAACGACCGGCAGCAAAGCAGCACTAACTATCGACGTGTAACAGATACAATAATGTTGTTGTTGTAACACGTCGTTTCTGCAAAATTGAGCAAGGTTATTCTCAATCAGAGCGTGGGAATAGAGACGACCCACAAGGGGGGAGGTGATTCCAATGCTGCGCAACGCGAGCTTAGAAATGTGAACGCAATCAGAACATTTCACGGATTGCGATGGTTCCTACTATTACTGGTAGGAACCTCCTGGTTACACCACCAGCCCACAGGGGGTTATTGTGTCCGCCCGTGGTGCATCCAAAAATGTGAGGGGTGGGGCTGGGTGGAGAGGGGAGGGTGGGGAGGGGCTGGGTGGGGAGGGGTGGGGCTGGGTGGGGAGGGGCTGGTCACCCCGTGGTGCCCTTATAAAACTCAACGTTTAACCTACTCACGCCGGCTTGTGCCCGCCCTCACAGTCGGGCATATTTGCGGAATACACCACGTGGTGCCGCCGTTGACCCTGGCCATTGACCGAGCAACCCAACGTTCCTACCAGCTCCCTCCGCAGGAGAATGTGTTAATTACTTCGCTTGCCAATCCGAGAAAGCGCCGCTCACTCTCGACCCTTTTTCGAGAGCCTCCCTGCCAAGCCGCCACAGTTCGGGTGACTTTGCTACGCGCATGCCAATCAATACATTTGCGAGTACTTTTAATATTTTATTTTTTTCAAGCGTTGCAAAATCTCGGTCCTTCCGACGTCGGCACACAATCCATCGATTTTTTTTCTCTGTCTCCGACCGATCGACGTTACACTGGAATCTTTCACGTCCTCCGTGATCCATAATGTACTGCGCCCATATAAAGGGATGTTGAACCCAGTCGTATTAATCAGGACTCGAACCACGAAGCCGTTGCAAGTCACCGTGTTTAATAAAGCCTCGCGAATTTAAGAGCGCGCTTATTAAACACATATATTGTCACGTAGAATGAGAATAAAATAATAAAATAATATTATTTTATTCTCATTCTACGTGACATTGACGAAAGAACCAAAGAAGATGAATCCTTGCAGTCACGAAAGCTTTCAATCGAAACATATATTGATTAATTACGAGTTATGCAAAATGTCGTGTTAACGCTCCCAGGTCGTTCTTGCACCCACAGAATAAGTAATACAGTATTTAACAAAAAAAACTTAGGCTTTCACCTAATTTCGGCGTTCTAACGATAACATCTACATTGCATCTGTGCCAGACACGGTGCATACCCACGTTGGGTCTCCATGCACCGCTCCTCCTGAGACCTCCGCTTGGTCGGCACCGGCTGAGGCCGTTTCCATTGAGACATCGCCAAATGTTACCAACGATTGTGACACTCATAAGTAATATATATTAAACAACTTTTTTTTAAACACGCTTTTATGAAATGTACTAGTAATGGAAGAACTCCACGACTCCAGGAAGTGCCCCCCGAAGCTTGCCACAACGTAAGGGGACCGTGGGCCAATTACTGCCAACGTCAGTTGACCGTGGACAATTAGACCCAAGCCGAAATATATAACATATAAAAAAGAATGTTTAAAAATATATCTTAATTTTTTTATGATAGAATATAGTATTGTCATCAGCATGACATAAGGATACCAAGTTTGCAGTCGATACCACATTGGGAAGTGGGTTAAAATTGAGTTACAAGATCTGAGGATACAACAACAACGACAACAACAGAGTGAGTTAAAAGAAAGCGTGTAATAATAAAAAATAAAGTAGGCAATGCTGTATCGTGTGTCTCCCTCAATGGGTTTAATTCATCCACTGGTTTCGCATTTGGAAGAATTGAAAATGCAATTGTTCTAAACGTAACAATGAGACGCAAGTATATCGATTTTTTTTTAAATGATCATATCGTGACAATTCATCGAATAGCGGGATGGGGTGGGGGGCGCGGCTGTAAATGCTTAGAAGCTTACGTGGCACATCAACTTCATCAGCGGTCTCGCTCTGTCCACTGCCGTTTTCCATTCGTGCGCTGCGAAAGATTCTTTCGAGCAGTGGTTCTTAACCTTTACTGCCGCCTGCAGCCCTTGGTCGTCAATCGTTTAAAAAATGTCAATAAATACACAGGGTTTGATGAAACAAAGTAACTTCTACTTACGTACCCGTGCTTAATTTGTGTTTTCGATGATTTAGCTTCTAAAAATAAATCAGGCCATGTCTCGCACCCCCACAGAAAGGGCATCTCGCACCCCCCAGGGGGTGTAGTATGCACCCCCAGGGGGTGTAGTATGCACCCCGCGCTAATAACCACTGCTTTAGATGCAAACGCACCCTTTAATCCCGCGTGAGACCACAGCAACCTGCCATATTCAATACCTTATTGCCAGAATCATAGTATGAAAAATAATAATAATTGCTGTTACCCTTACTGGCAATAAAACAGGTGTTAAGATGTTCAAACACCAAATAGAAATTTTTTGCAAGGAATCAAGCACGTGTGGTTAATGCAGACTTGATTCCTTGCAAATTTTTTCTATTTGGCGTTTGCACATCTTAACACCTGCTGTTGTATTGCCAGAAAGAGTAAAACCAGATTCTTATTCTACATACTCAACACATTCGTAAATAACAATGCGGCCTTAAAATAAATACAAATACAACATGCGATTATGAGACCTCCTTTGCCAGTAACAAGATATAGAAATAGGTAAAACCTAGGTAAAACCTTTTTCTATATCTTGTTACTGGCAAAGGAGGTCTCATAATGTAAATGGTCACCCCGAGCCCTCAATACTCTGATAGTGCGCTGTTTTTGAGTTGTACGCCTTTTGGCGTCTTCTGGTCCAACACCAGTGGAGACTAGGCTCTAAGAAAAGCCGTCTCGGGTGTGGACTAATCAAATTCAAGGACAGTGCCAATATTATTATCAGAGTTGTCTCTTTTGTTTGCATTTTGACTGCTTGTGTTGTGGTTATTGCAAACATGATGCCTTGAATAAAGGTGTCAGTTCTTGTGCCAGTTAAAAGGGTAAAACCTATTTCTATAATATGCGATGTTTCGGGAAATGGTCCTTCCTCATTGTCAAGCCAATTTTATGTTTGTGCTATGTATTCCACAGAGTGATGGAGTCAATACGAGTTGGAGACTGCACTTAATACCATGGAGCCTGATGATAATTTCATTTCTTAAATGCTGTCTGATGACCATATGAATGGTCACACTATTAGTATCTATTGATTAACAGACAGAGCAAATTAAAACTACTCTATTTGTGACTCATGACCCGGAGCCGTTCCCTAGGGTGTGTGGCGATCTCGGGGAGACAGCCCCGGGACCCGCGCTTTGGGGGGCCCTTATGGATGGCCCTGCTTGTGGTTATAATTTGAGATCGTGGAGTGAGCGATTTGGCTTCACCTTGGGCAGACCACGGTGATGAACATCATGTAAGCTAAATGATTTTTTTATTTTACAAGGTAAGGCCCATTGAGCTGTACAGCTTTTTTTTTCAGGAGCGACTTGGCCACAAATGATAGCTCAACGAAGTGGCTTATCATGTGGAAATGTAGAGCAGCAGCAGCAGCCAAATATTCGAAGCGCACGTTGAATCTAAATGTGGAGGGAAAACCCGGAGGACCCGGAGAAAATCCACGCGACCACAGCCAGAGAGACACGCAGACTCCAAATATACATGCTTCAGGGTCAGGATAGAACCCACGACCTCCTGCATACCAGGCGAGGCAGATAATATCTCACCACGTGGTACACATGCAACCGGGCTGAGATTACTAACACGCTACACTGGAGAGGCTGGGTTGTTAACCCGTGGCTGAAACCTGGATGAGAACCAAGGTTCTGACCTCCTGAGCCACCCGGTGACCTCACGTGATCTTTCAGGGAAATCCGTTTTGGGGTGGAGCG